GATATCCTAACAACTTCAAAATCTGTCAATTTCAATATCTTTAACACAATCTCTACACACTGATTGTATGATTAGGATGATTTCGAAACAGCGAAAAGAAAACAGCGTGACATTTTACAAATACATGATCACTCGTCATTTGTAAATATGTCAATAACATTTACAGCTTATGCCAATCAAATGGCTACACCAATTCATTGCCATATATCATTTTTACGACTGCTAATAGCACTACGTTGGCTTTGAAATTGTCTGGCTTATTACACCCGATTTCAAATGAGTGCGAACTCTCGAATTTTTTTTCGGACGCTAAACTTTCACTCGACCGTCATTCACTCGACCACTTGGTAACCTGGCACAGCTTGAAGCGGGTAAAATTATCCAAGTATAAAAACCATGGTTAATGTATGTCTGTGGGCTAAATTCCTACGGTTTGTGATCGCACTACAAAACGAACTTATTGTAAAAACTAGTTTCGGTTTAACTTAACTTTCTCAGCTCACAGTTACAGCGAAACAGTTGAAAAATAAATAGCGTGACAAACACTGACAAGCGCGCGCACTTTAAATCGCTTTTAGTGTTCGTTGGCTGTTCTTTGTTGATTTTACTAGTTTACTGATTAAAATGAAGAGGTTATCGGACGATATTCGGTGGAGGGTTATTTACCATGAACTTATTTACGGTTCAAGCATTAAGGAAACTTGTAGAGCGTTATTTGTAGGAAAACTTTTGTTTGTAAAATTCGACAACTATGTTGCTGTACATACACGGCGTGGAAGGCCTCGACTTCTCACATGTAAGTGTCATTGTAAACTTGTATTCAATCAATCAGGGTTTTTACAGTAATACGAATAAGAATATATTTACTTCTTCGAAAGAAGGTTACATTTAAACATAAGTTACTTCGTTTTCAACCTTTAATTTAGACAACAGTGTTGCAATTATTTTTTCGCTTGCTTGATAATTTTTTTATTGTAAACTTTAAAAATTGTTTACATAACGAAAGAAAATAAAAAATGTGTATTTTAATTCAACACAAGAATATCTTTTCGAGATGCAGAAAACACCTCAAGTTCATGGTTCTTGCAAAGCTATACCTAATTGTGCAAAGTATTATTTTCATGCATTTGATGTTTACAAGTTAATAAAGCAAAATTTAAACTACAAACCAGATAGAAAATTATATTTTTTAATCAAGTTTAGTTGATATTCTTCTAATTGTTCTCAATTGCATTGAGTGAAGTAGAATGTTCTGTGAAACACAAGGACCACAGATATCTCGAACAAAGACCACCGCTTCTTCATGCGAAAGTCCCGCTACAGAAAGTCACGCATCACTTACTAAACACGTGTGCCAGGTTACCAAGTGGTCGAGTGAATGACGGTCGAGTGAAAGTTTAGCGTTCAAAAAAAATTCGAGAGTTCGCACTCATTTGAAATCGGGTGTAAACAAGTCGCAGTCAATTACTGTATCTATCATATCAGTAATGTATCCTGGATCGTGTGCTTCTTCTTACACATGTGTTGATTCTCTTCATGGTATTTCAATCTTCATGTAGGTTAATATCTTTACATCTGTAAATAATATATATAATTACGAACAATAGTT